CAAATGGATGTTTACTGTTATGCTGCAGAAGGCCAGATGCGATTAAGAGGGGAAGAAAAGGTGCAAAGGATGAATGTATGCCGGTAACCCAGCTGGGTCTCTGGTGGAAGCACCTTTCCAGGTGGAGAAAAGATTTCAACCCTCCCTGAAACCCACTCCCACCTCCTTCTCTAGGTCCACAATTGGTGGGGTTTTTTTTCAAAAAAGACTCACCTTTTATAGTTCCTTCTACAAAGCCATCTGATCGCGACAGAATCCGCCACCCCACCCCCAACAAAAGCACCATTCCCACGACCTCCTGCTCCAGAGGGGCTTTCTTTCTGCCCTCTCTCAGCAGCCCCCCCTGCGCTGTGGACCCCCAACTCACTAAGCCTTAAGCCTAAATCTTCTCGCCACACCAGCCAGCTGCCCAGGCTCGCTTCCTCCCTGTGCACGCATCTGCAGACACGTGTCAACGTGTTCCCACGCTCCCAGTCCCGCTGCTCTTCCCACGGCTCTCCCCGGAGCCCCCTGCTGCCTTTCTCCCCCTCCTCACGCACCCACGGAGGTGTCATTCCTGAACAGTTGGACCGAACCCGGTTTTGAACTCCGCCGTTTTTCCTCCAACCTGGGTTCTGTTGCTAACATTCCCTCCCCCGCGCGTGACGCCCACAGGAGCCCAAAGCGCAGGCGCGCCGCTTTGCGTGCTGGGAAGCGTAGTCCCAGCTTAGCTCGGGACTGGAAGGCTGGCTCCGAGTGCGGCGTTTGTTCTGCTCGGGGGCAAAGGCACCACTCGGAAAGAAAATATGGTATAAAGCAAGGGGCTGGGGTTGGGGGGGGGCATGCGTGAGACTTAAACGGGTTTGCAGCGAAGTGATTCCCATTGATTGAGTCCAAACCTCGTCTTAATAAGCCCCAGGAGAGTTTTAGGGAAGGAAGGAAGGAAGGAAGGAAGGAACACGAAACATTTTCAAAGAAGAAAAAAATAAAGTCCAGTTGCCTTTGGAAAAAAAGCATCTTTGGGAATAGCTGATCCTTTGGATTGTCTGCAGCCAGATATCTCCCAATTCCTCTGGAAGATTTTCTGCTTGTTCAAAAGTGGCACTGGTGCAGTGTTTCTCAACCTTGACCATTTTAAGGCATGTGGACTTCAACTCCCAGAATTCCACAGCCAGCAATGCTGGCTGTGGAATTCTGGGAGTTGAAGTCCACATGCCTTAAAATGGTCAAGGTTGAGAAACACTGGTAGAGATTGGGAGGTCTTCTGCCAGGAAACAGAGGAAGATTCTGTTTTTCTTCATTCTGATGTTTCTCTGATTAGCTCTCGCCCGGATAGCTTTATGCTACATCTGAGCCCATTCCATCAACGCTTGTCAAAAACAAAGCAGGACCTGATTTTAAATCCATATTTTTTTGGGGGGTCTCACGGAGTGAGGGCAACCTGCCTAGAACTGGGCTGCTAAGGGACATGTGGGGTGTTTTGTGGCAGTGGGGGGGGCATAATGAAATACCCACAATTTGGCTTGCAGGTTGAATTTTGCAGAGGCCCCTCTGCTGACAGCCCTGGGACTGAGGTCAAGTATTCTGCAAGGCCAAACCAGAGCTGGCCTTTTTGCTTACAGTGAATATAAACGTGAGCAATAAATAAAGCCTCGTTATGATTTAATGCAGCGATGAACCCAGACTGAAGAATATAAACTGGACCTAATGAGAAGGAAGGACTCACTGGAGAAGAGCCTGATGCTGGGAAAGATGGAGGGCAAGAGAAGAAGGGGACGACAGAGAATGAGGTGGCTGGATGGAGTCACTGAAGCAGGAGGCGTGAGCTTCAATCGACTCCAGAAGATGGTAGAGGACAGGAAGGCCTGGAGGAACGTTGTCCATGGGGTCGCGATGGGTCGGACACGACTTCGCAACTAACAACAGATAACCATAAAAAGAAATAGTCCATACATGCAAAGTACAAAGAAAATAAAAGGCATTATGGTACCTGGACAAAATCCTATGTTCAAATGGTTGTATATGAGAAAATAATGCAGCATAATATATTTATAAATCTAACTCTACCGGTAGTCCTTGACTTACAACAATTCAGTTAGTGACTGTTCAAAGATACAACAGCACTGAAAAAACTTGACTTATGACCATTTTTCACCAACAGCCCTGTGGTCGTGTTATCAAAACTCAGATGCTTGGCAAGTGACTCATATTTATGACGGTTGCAGTGTCCTGGAGTCACGTGATCTCCTTTTGCGGCCTTCTGACAAGCAAAGTCAATACGGGAAGCCAGATTCACTTAACAACCGTGTTACTGACTTAACTGCAATGATTCAGTTAATAACTGTGGCAAGCAAGGTCGTAAAACGGGGCAAAACCCACTTAACAAATGTCTCACTTTGCAACAGAAATTTTGGGCTCAATGGTGGTTGTAAGTCCAGAATTACCTGTAGTCAGATTCACTATTAGGGGACAAATTCACTTGCTAATTCTAACAGACTAACTAACTTAGTTAAACTATTCCCGAGAGACAGCAATTCATTTTAAAGAGAAACCTCAACTTAGAAACAATTTAAATTATTTTCTCCTCTTGGGAGCAAAACTATCTGCTACTGTAATCTTCTGTATTTTCACTTTATTAATTAATTAAACAAAGCAAGCCTGCTTCCATAAAAGGAAAATTTCATGAGGAAATCTCTCTGGTGGATTTTTCTCAATTTCTGATAAGTAAGTGAGGGAGGGAGGGAAGGAGGGGGGAAGAGTAGAGAGTGGTAGACATAAGGGTACACCAGGGGTCTTCAAACTGGGCAACTTTAAGACTTGTGGACTTCAACTCCCAGAACTCCCAGTAAAAAAAATGTTGAGATTCTAGAAAGAGTACAGAGAAGAGCAACAAAGATGATTAGGGGACTGGAGGCTGAAACATATAAGGAACGGTTGCTGGAACTGGGTATGTCTAGTTTAACAAAGAGAAGGACAAGGGGGGGGACATGATAGCAGTCTTCCAGTATCTCAGGGGCTGCCCCAAAGAAGAGGGAGTCAAGCTATTTTCCAAAGCACCTGAAGGCAGGAAAAGAAACAACGGATGGAAACTAATCAAGGAGAGAAGCAACCTAGAACTAAGGAGAAACTTCCTGACAGTGAGAACAATTAACCAGTGGAACAACCTGCCTCCAGAAGCGGTGAATGCTCCAACACTGGAAGTTTTTAAGAAGAGACTGGAGAGCCATTTGTCCGAAATGGTATAGGGTTTCCTGCCTGAGCAGGGGGTTGGACTAGATGACCTCCAAGGTCCTTTCCAACTTTACTATTATTATTATTATTATTATTATTATTATTATTATTATTATTATTATTATTATTATTATTATTATTATTTCTCAGCCAGCCAGCCAGCCAGTCCACAAGTCTTAAAAAGAGAACTGATGATGTTACCTAGTTGGATATTGAACCGTTTGCAAGAAAACAATCATGCGTCAGGGAGCACCAAGGATCTCTCAGAGGAGAGAGAAAGATGCATCTTAATCCCTGTATTTATTTTAAACACCATTTAAAACAACGGTTTAAAACTTGTTTTGGGGATATTTGTTTCATTAACTGCAGTGGACTTTCCAGATTGGAAGACCGGTTTCAGTATAATATCACTGAATAAGCGAAACACAAATCACAAAGCAAAATGTGACGCATTTCATGTATGAATTGCATGCCTAGGAAAGATCAATGTTTGTAATGTTATCTGTCTAATTGAGCAGGAGGTGAATTTTCATTCCACGCCCTGAGTGCTGAATCATAAAAGAGTTCAGAAGGGCATATATAAACCTATATATATGCACACATGCAATTCCATCAGGAGATTCCTCAGCCATGGCTTGCCCTAGAAGGAACCGAGCTGTAATCATTGTCAACCATCAGTTCCTCCAAGCCAAAGAAAGACTTAAATCAAGATTGGGGGCCAGAAGGGAAGCAGACAAGCTTTTTAAAGCACTTTCCAACTGCAATTATGACGTGAGATTATTTCTGGATTTGACAGCCAAAGAAATAGAAGAAGTGTATGAGGAAGGTATGTTTGGGAGGAAGGCAACTAAGATCTTCAGAACGGTGCACCTTAAAAGTCTTCCATGGAACTGTTGGAAAGCTGGCGGGAGCCTCCAAAATTTTGTTCCACTGTTCATCAGAAAGATCTGAGCTGCCGGGAAGTGGAGGGTGGTGAGGACTTAGACTAAATGGACAGCGGGATTATATACTTAGGTTGTATATAACCCCACTGATTATGATACAAATATATATCATAATCAGTGGGGTTATATACAACCTAAGTGTGTATGTATGCATGCGTGTGTGTGTGTGTGTGTAGATAGATAGATAGATAGATAGATAGATAGATAGATAGATAGATAGATAATAGATAGATAGATAGATAGATAGATAGATAGATAGATATAGATAGATAGATATAGATAGATAGATAGATAGATAGATAGATAGATAGATAGATAGATAGATAGATAGATAGATATAGATCTATGTCATTTTTACTAGGTCTTTGCTGATGAATGATGGTGATAATAATAATAAAGTTGGAAGGGACCTTGGAGGTCATCTAGTCCAACCCCCTGCTCAGGCAGGAAACCCTATACCATTTCGGACAAATGGCTGTCCAATCTCTTCTTAAAAACTTCCAGTGTTGGAGCATTCACCACTTCTGGAGGCAGGTTGTTCCACTGGTTAATTGTTCTAACTGTCAGGAAGTTTCTCCTTAGTTCTAG